TAATGTGATTATCAAATTAATTATGCTGTTAAACCCAATGAAGCCATTAGTGGATTAACACTCGTATCGTGTGTCACGGTGAAGATAATTATATAAATAAAATATACTACTACTACATGTGTATGCGTTTGTTCATATATTGGATTCGAAACGGATATGGTCATATTTCTGATTTGTATATGTTTTTGAAGCTAAGTTAATATTTGGATTCTGAATACTGATAAAAACTTTAGAATATTTGATGGAATCTCCAATATGTTATGTTAAACTGAAAAAAGGGTTAAACATTTTCACAATGATTCAACGTTTTTTTAGAATTCAATTTTTGTTTTCTTAAGCTCTAAATTTTTAGTGGTACCAAAAAAAAAAAAAAAATCTTTTACTACAACTCTCTTTTATTCAAGTACAATACAAAAAAGCAGCTCAAACATGAGATACAAAGTGATGCAGTCTAATTGGTGAGGAGTGAGGACCATAAAAGGAATTAAAAAGAAATGAAGAGAGAGAGGGTGAATGAAGTTCACGAGGAGAGAACAGAAAGAGTTTTATATTTCCTATAACATTAACCCAATTTTAAACACAATTACCAATACAATTTTGGACCTCTATTTGTAGAGTTTCAACGTCTGTTTATGACTTCTCTATTTTTCTTATAACCCTAAGAAAAACTATGCAAGATAGGCGAATTAAAAAATAAACACAAATACCTGATGCTTATCTCATTTGGGAAATTGTTTTAAATATTTTATTTGTAGGCTTATGCACATATATTTGGTAAAGTTACGATCAAGTTAACAAAAAACAAAAAAAAAAGAGTTACGGATCAATTCCGTCGGTTTACTGAGTCATAGATGCATTTTGGTTTCTCAAAGGAAACCATAATCTTGATCAAATCAATATTCAAATCATAATTTTTTTAGGGAAGTTGTGTATGTCATTTTCTGAAAAATGGGATAATATATAGTTAGGCGAACGAATGTTTAAAACACTTAACTATCCTAATAACAAATTATTCAATAAAATTAAAGTAAAAGACTAAAGAACCAATGTATAACTATAAAATATGTAAAAATAGACTAATTTACAAACATATCATGAGCGAGTATAGATAAACTAAAATCGACATGCATAAAGAAAAATAAACCAATCTAGCATTGTCACCCAACCAACTCTATAAGACTTTAACAACATTATAAATGTAAAATGTGGCTTAAGGTAAATGCGCGCCTATGACAAGTACGGTCCATATTTTGATATTTTGATTTTTATGTTGTCACAAACAAACTTTAACATTGATTATACAAATACATTGTATGCATCAATAAACTATTACGGAATAAAATTGTCTATAAATCTACTTTCATATTTTTGTCTCGCATACATACTATGAACAAAATTAAATTTTGGAACAAATCCATATAAGATTGCCAGCTTGTCTAATCTGGTGAGAAGCATGGTCATTTTTTCAAATTTGTCATTATTGAAGTCAACTCTTTCAAGTATATCATAAAAAGTGAATTATACCGATTACAAATTTAGAGATTAAATTAATAGAACTAATTATATCATTTATGCAATAGCAATGACCCTTAAATTAGCTGTTAAAATTTGAATGTATAATTGAAGGTAAATTTACTTCTTCTTTAAAGCTTATTAGATGAATACCCGCATATAACACGCAGATTTGTTTCTAACAATAATTTTAAAATTTTAAAATTAGTGATTTTTGAATATCATACAATTTTCAAAGTTTTTTTACTTTTAATATTAAATTATTTTTGAACAAACTCTTATAAATTCCTTCTAACTAAGTTGATAAAGTTAACATAGCATTTCAAATTGATTTGTTGGGATAAATAAAAATATTGATTAAAAGTACAAAGATGTCAAGGTTTCGCGTATTCCAGCATTGGTTGCTTATGCATAATTCTAAAAGTTGATTCTTTCATACATCATCCATGACTTTGTACTTGCATACACCATTTCCCGGAAGTGGTTTTTCTAGCTTTAGTCATTTTTTTATGTCAATAGTATGCATTTTACAAGCTCAAATTCAAATAGTGACACAACAATGACATTAATATAAACCACTAAGATATACTGTATTTTCTAACCAAATTATTGATCATTAGTTTTCTTTTTAACGCATCAATTTTC